TTTTTTTTTTTTTTTTTTTTTTCGAGAAATTTTAGCTAGTTTTGTAGCTCTCTTTGCCTCAGTTATCTGTCATTCAATCTTCAGCGGATTTTTCGTAGAAACATGTAGAAATCCCCACTTTAAATTTAGTAAAACTTTTTTTTTTGAAAAATATATTATGTCAAGAAAGGAGCAGGAATTTCTGTGCTTTTGGGCTCTGATAACATGGGTGTCATGAATAAACAGCAAACTGTCAGGATTGACAACTTATAACTCCCAGCCATGTCACTTGAGATTTTCGCCTCGGGCCACACACACGCACACACACAACGAACATTGCCGAAAATAAATGATATAGTCTTAAATGTGTATAAGTATTGAAGAGAAGAGAACTGGGAGTCTACTCCAAGATGGAAAGCACAGAGTCCAGTCCAGAGTCCAGTCCAAAGTCCAGTCCAGGTTCTAGGACATGCCGTCGATGTGGGGTCGATGAGAGAAGGATGTGGGGTGGATATCAATCTACATTAGAATCTATACTAGATCTACTATCTACACTAGAATCAACACTAGAACCTATACTAGATCTAATATCTACACTAGGATCTACATTATATATAGAGCTAGGCTATCAGCTATCAAGCTATCGGCTATTGGCATGTACCTGGCCTGAAAGTCAACACATGGTCGAACTCAGTGAATAAGAAATGTGCAAATTATTTTTAAAAAGTTGAACGTTTTGTCTTGTAAAAACTGAGAAAGAGTAGATCGTGGTCTTGATATATTTAGTAGTTGATTCGTGTGATTAACTCGACAATTATGCAGAACACAGTCCTCTATTGTTTCAAGTGACGGGTGTTTCTATTGAACAAATATATACTGACAATCAAAACACCATACTTGGTTAAACAATGAAAAGAGCTGTAAGTAAACTTATTAATCTTATTTACATTCATTGAGCGTTTTATGAATAAAAGTTGTTCTTTGGGCAAGTCATCTAATTGTTTGTTTTTCGATGAGTCAACTTCGTAGAACTCAATTAGGGTGAAACATGAAAAGTATAAAGTAAAAAGAGTCTATACCGTTAACAATAGGCTTTGTGAAAGAAAAACTATATTTTATGACCAGCAAACTAAATAAAAAATAGAAAATAAAAAATAAATATGGCTAACCACCCCTCCCCCTACACTGGAACCTCACTATAGAATATATCACCGTTATTACGGGTCCGGAGTAGGGTCTGGGGGAGAGCCCCTTGCTCCGCTTGCTCCGAAGCGCCGTCATTACAAGGGTTGATCCACGATCCACCCTGCTCCACGATCCACCTGATGCAGAACCGGCACTTCATATCTACTTCTGATGTATTCATATTTTTACTGTACTTCGTCGATTCCAACCTCGACATTTCGTGGTCACTCAAGCAATTGAGTACCCTGGGGCCCAGAGGTTATTGCATTCGCGCTCCGGCATTTACTGTGCGGACGAGTAGTCGCGAGGAGAAATAACCTCCTTTCGCTCCCTCGCGCCTTCGGCGCTCGCTTTTTCAATGTTCCGGGAAAAGCGAATAGAACCTCTGCAGCCCAGGGTAGCAATTGAGTGAATCACGTAATAGTGATTTTTTGTGAAATCATTCCTACGGGTTATAAACTCATTGATCAACCAAGGATTGGACGCAAGGGTGGCGGAATTGGACTTCTACATAGAGATAATATATCGGCCAAAAAAGTCAGAGGAAAAGAGGAGCTGTCTTTTGAATTTGCCGAATTTGTGGTGAAATCTGGGTCTTTCAGCTGTAGACTGGTAATTATTGTTTACCATCCACCGTACTCTGAAGATCACCCTGTTACTGATAGTGTATTCGTCACTGAGTTCACTAAATACCTTGAACATGTCATCTTATCAGTCGAGCCTTTGATGGTTGTAGGGGATTTTAAGCTTCATGTGGACAATACTGGGGACAATGTTGCTGCTGCATTTCTAGATATGCTCGAGTCGATGAATATGGAACAACATGTACGCAGTCCAACTCACGAACATAAACCATACACTGGACCTTGTGATAACGCGCCAATCCGATTCCATTGTACTAGGAAATCCAAAGATATGCCTTCCATTCTCAGATCATGCAGCCGTTTTCTGCTCGTTGAATTCCGTGAAGCCCCCGCTAAGTGTCGTGTCTCGCACATTCCGAAGGTTAAAGTCTGTTGATGTGGGCGCTATTAGTGATGACATTGTGGCTTCCCCCCTACTAAACAGCACCGGTGTGAATACTTTGGATAAACTAGTGGACTCTTACAATACGACACTACTGAGTATTGTCTCTGGTTGATATTCATGCCCCTTTACAATCCAAGAAAACTGTCAACAGACCTCAGGTTCCATGGATGAACGGTGACATTAAAACAGCAATAAAGAATAGAAGGAGGGCGGAGCGTAGGTGGCGAGCCAATAAGACCATTGAACACCTTGCAGAATTTAAAGAGGAAAAATTATGCTACTATGCTGATGAATAGAGCTCAACAAATGTACTACTGTGACTTTATCAATGATAACAGTTCCGACCAGGGCAAGCTGTTTAGGGTAGCCAAAAGTCTGTTATCAGACCCTGTTATCTGACTTGTGTGACGCAAAAACCATGGCTAATGATATTGGTACTTATTTCGTACGTAAAATAAGTGACATCCACACTAAGTTGGGTAATAATGACTCGCCCCATGTCCTAAGGAGAGAGGATGATTTTCGCAGTGGTGTGGTGTTTTCAGAGTTCCAGTCTCTTTCTTTGGAAAATGTAGGTGATCTAATCACCTGCTCTAGCAAGAAAACTTCTCGTCTTGACCCGATGCCTACGTCGCTGGTCAAGTGCTTGGATGTGCTGCTTCCTGTTATAACATCTATGATTAATCAATCTCTTCAATCTGGTCTGTTCGCTGAGAAATGGAAACTTGGAATGGTCACACCACTTCTCAAGAAACATGGTGTGGATCTATTACATAAGAACCTTCGCCCAGTTACCACTTTAGCTTATATTTCTAAGCTGACGGAGACAGCTGTTGCAGTGCAAATTCAATCTCACATGACTCGTCATGCTTTGTTCCCTGTCTTCCAGTCTGCTTACAGGCAGCATCACAACACAGAGTCAGCATTGCCCAAGTTTCGAAACGACATCTTGTTGAACATGAATAAACAACATGTAACTCTTCTGTTACTCCTTGATCTCAGTGCTGCGTTTGACACCGTAAATCATACAATTTTGTTACAGCGCCTAAAGTCTCAGCTTGGAATTGATGGGACAGTGTTATCTTGGTTCAAGTCTTATCTATTTGGAAGATCACAACAAATAACTGTCAATGGCAAGGTATCAGATATCTTTAATCTTGACTCAATACATCGATAGAAGTAGAGCAGAATATTTG